CTTTTATCCAGAAAACAAAAACAGGATGTTATGAAAAATCAGACAAAAAAGAGTTCATGGAAGCTATATAAATTAGTAAATTAGTTAAAAGTTGAATAAAAAGATTAGAAGGAAAAGTCAAAGAAGTTTCTCAAATATAGAACAAAAATACAAGAGATAGAAAATATGAAAGAAAAAAATGGAGTTATGTGGGGTCAATCCAGGAGGGTCAACATCCAATAGGCATTCAAAAAAAAAAAAATGAAAGGAGAGAAAATATGAGGAAATAATCTTAAAAATATTGAAAGAAATGTTCCCAGTATTGAAGAAAGCAGAGGATCTTCAAATTCAAAGGGCTCAATGAATACCGAGCAGAACAAATTAAAAGAGATGTACATTAGATACATCCTCATGAAATTCGAGAGTGCTCATTATAGAGAGATTTTAAGTGTTTTAAAATGAAGAAAAGATACCTACAAAGGAATGTGGATAAGATTTGCATCAGACTTCTCACCAACAGTACTAGATGATGGAAGACGAAGACAATGCCTTCAAGATTCTGAGTGAAAATGATTTTTGACTATTTATAATGTATGAGGATAAAAAGGAAACACTTTTAGATATTTAAGATCTTTGAAAATTAGCTTTTTATATTTTCTTCCTGAAAAAAGTAGCCACTTGATTTTGTGAATAATGTTTCTCCCATCTAAAAAACAAAACCAAACCAGAAATATGGGGTAGGGGAGAGATTTAAAAAAAAAAAAAAAAAAAACATTATCCACATATGGGGCAAATTAAAATGCATGATTTTGCATAATAAGAAAATATAATGTTTGACCTTGATACTTCAGAATGGTACACATTTGTTGATACAGGGTTGTATCCCCGCTGTCGCTATCTGTAGCTGTAGTGAATAAGGATTATGTAATTAAAATATGGCTGGTGCTGTTTATTGGGTTTCAATTTTTAGAATCAATCAAAAGTTTGCTTCCAATTCCAATTCCAATTAGAATCAATTTCTACATGAAGCACTAAATACTTAAGTACAGTTACAGACAAATGTAAATGTAGAAATATTGGAGACAAAAATTTGGAAACTAAAGAGAGGGAAAAGTGAAAAGAGTAAGGACATTCTCTTGAATTGTGGAGAATCAAAACACACATCTAAAAATGATAACTCAGGGGTGCCTGGTGGCTCAGTCGGTTAAGTGTCTGCCTTCCGCTCAGGTCATGATCCCAGGATCCTGCGATTGAGCCGCACGTTGAGCCCACGAGCCCACATCCAGCTCTTTGCTCAGTGGGGAGCCTCCTTCTCCTTCTCTCTCTGCCTGCAGCTCCCCCGGGCTTGTGCTCTCTATTTCTCTCTGTCAAATAAATAAATAAAATCTAGAAAAAATTAAAAATAAAATAATAAAGTTGTAGGCACTCAGTTGTAGAATTAAAGAATTAAAAATATGACTAACACTGGGGAATAGGCAGAAGAGAAAGAAAGAGAAATATAAGTTAGCTAAAATTCTTCATCATCACTAGTATGAGAGAGAAAACAAATATCACAACCGTCAAAAGAGTCTACCTTTCACTGTTTAATTTGTTATTTCCTAAACCGATTTCCATAGATGACCAAAAAACCCATAAAAGGGGCTCCTGGGTGGCACAGTCAGTTGAGCCTCTGACTCTTGGTATCAGCTCAGGTCATAATCTTGGGATCTTGAGATCAAGCCCCACTTCGGGCTCCATGTGCGCAGCGCAGACTCTGCTTAGAGTTTCTCTCTCAGTCTCCCTCTCTCCCCCCGCCCCCTGCCCTGTGCACTTGCTTTCTCTCTCTCTCAAATAAATAAATTAATCTAAAAAAAAACAAAAAGCAAAAAAAAATTTTTAAATGCAAAAATGGCTAAATAAGAATAATGAAATGTATGTTTTTATATGGAAGGAAATTTAAAAGCACTGCTAAATTGTATTTTTAAAAAGCAAGTTGTACAATATAGAATGATCCCACTTATGTGTAAAATATAATTTTCTGTGTGTGGGAGTGTGTGGGGGCGTAAACATCTAAAAGGATCTTAACAAAATTGTTAACCAAAATTATTTCTAGGTAGGAAAGTGGAAATAGAGATGGGAAACAGGGAAATTTTTTTACCCTATATAATGCTTTATAATTTTATCCTTTAGCAAAAATGAATCTGTTTTTATTTTTTTCATCTTGTAAAAAGATTTTATTTATTTATTTTAGAGAGAGAGGGCAGGGAGGGAGAGAGAGAGAATCTTCAGCAGATTCCACGCTGAGTGCAGAGCCTGACTTGGGGCTCAATCCCATGACCCTGAGATCATGACCTGAGCTGAAATCGAGTCGGGCGCTCAACCAATTGAGTCACACAGGCACCCCCAAATGAATCTATTTTTAAACTGGTATAGTTTTTTTAATTAACAAACAAGTTGGAAGAGCTATTAAGTAGAGCCAAGAGAGGTGAGTACAAGTTCATTGAGAACTGAATTGTCCCTGGTTTGCAGTGTGGACTCATCTCAACATACTTCCAATGATCCTTAGAAAATCAAATCTCAGAATTTTTTTTTTTTTTTTTTTTGGTCAAAGTGTAAGGAAAAAAGTAGTAAGAGAACCAAATGGTTTCAAAATTCAAATAAAAAAGAACCAGAACTGAAAAACACTTCCCCACAGGCAAACCCCTTTTGGAGAGAGAGGAGCCTGGGCACAGAGCAAGAAGGGACCTTATCCTCTCATCTTACTCCTTGCACGTGCAAGGTCAAATCCCAGCTCTGGGGGTGCTCTTGAAAGGAACCAGGGTCTAATCAGTAGAAAGATTAGGAAACAGGGAGCTAAGCAGGAGATTGCAGGCAAGAGATAATGAAAGGGCGACAGTGGGGCGGTACTGGAAAGGAGATAGTCTAGGGCATTGTTTAGGATTACGGTCCTTGGAAACTCGATGTGCAATTATGGAGAACAAGGAGTTAGGAAAACTTCCAGGTTTCCAACTGGAAGGCAGTGCTCCAACTGATAGAAGGAATACTTCAGGGAGAAGAGTGTGGAGGCAGTGCAGGAGGGATACATATTAAAGCCTGTAAAGCACCACTTAGTGCCAATATCCTGCCATGGTCTTTAATAATCGTTTACGTATTATTCTTCTTTCTTCAGATGGGCTATAAACTCCTAAAGGGCATATACGGTTCTGTTAGCATGCTTTATACAAAGTAACAAATAATAGCTATAATGGCACAATAATAACAATAATAGCTATCATTTCATGCTTACCGTGTGCCCAATATTTTTCTAAGTAAGGGTTTTGCATGTATTAAGTAATTTAATGCTCCCACCACCCCTGTGGGATAGGTACTTTTATTATTCCTATTTTACAGATGAGGAAACTGATCTTGTCCAAGCTAACACAGCTAGTGAATGATTTATTCTCTTTGAGTTCCATTAAATATTGTTAGTGAAGAGGGAGCTAGAGGGTATTATGCTAAGTGAAATAAGTCAGTCAGAGAAAGACAAATACTATATGATTTCACTCATATGTGAAATTCAAGAAACAAAACAAACGAGCAAGGAAAAAAAAAGAGACAAATGAAGAAACAGACTCTTGCTCTTTCCGACTTCCATGGCGGTAGTGAGAGGCGCCCTGTCCACCCACCTGCAATGGATGGTCCTGTGGAACTGCTCCAGCTTCCTGATCAAGAGGAACAAGCAGACACACAGTGCCCAGCCCAATAACCTGAAGGCTCATAACTCCTTCACACCCACGGGCTGTGGGTGTGAAGCCACCGGCCCACCACAAAGGTGTGGTGGTGGTCAGGAAGCAGAGATCTGGCCAGTGAAGACCCACCACCTCCTACATGTGGACCACCATTAACAAGAATGTGTGGGCCCCCGTCAGCAGCATCAGGCACATGACCCACAAGAACCAAGTACCGCCTGGATCTGCACATGGCTGCCATTTGCAGAGCCGGTGCCATCCTGAGTACCAGAAGCCTGTGACGGTGATGAGGAAGTTGGCGCCCCACCAAGAACTCCTGAGCCCCCCACCTCAAAAGCGATGAAGGTATCCACCACCTGGGGAGGTGGGGGAAAAAGAAGAAGAAACAGACTCTTTTTTATTTTATTTTATTATGTTACGTTAATCACCATACATTATGTCATTAGTTTTTGATGTAATGTTCCATGATTCATTGCTTGCGTATAACACCCAATGCTCCATTCAATACGTGCCCTCTTTAATACCCATCACCGGGCTAACCCATCCCCCCGACCGGCCCCCCCCAGAACCCTCAGTTTGTTTTTCAGAGTCCATAGTCTCTCATGGTTCGTCTCCCCCTCTGATTTCTCCCCCTTCATTTTTCCCCTTAATTATAGAGAACAAACTGAGGGTTACCAGCGTGGAGATGGGTGGCGGAATGGGTTAATTAGATGATGAGGATTAAGGAGCACACTTGTTGTGATGAGCACCAGGTGATGTATGAATAGTGATTTTTTTTTAAAGGTTTTATTTATTTGTCGGAGAGAGAGAGCACAATCGGGGAGTGGCAGGCAGAGCAGGCAGAGGGAGAAGCAGACTTCCCGAAGAGCAAGGAGCCTGATGCGGGGCTTGATCCCAGGACCCTGGGATCATGATGTGAGCTGAAGGCAGACGCTTAACTCACTGAGCCACCCAGGCGTCCCAATAGTGATTTTTGATTCACTGTATTGTACACCTGAAACTAACATAACCTATGTTAATTAACTGGAATTAAAATTAAAACTCTAAATAAACAAATGTAAATTTCTCACAACCATAAGAATAAATAGCATTTAATATCTTGTTTATGTATTTACTATGGGATCAGTATGGTGTCAGAGTCTTGAAGGAATTAAATTTCTGGGTGCCAGATATTTAAAATTTTACTATGTCACTAATGTTGCAATGCCATACCAACCAATATCCAGTTACATAAAATATTCCAAATGATTAGTTAGCAGAGTTATTTGTTGCATATTTTAGATATGTAGTAAAAGAGAATATTTTCTTCCTTAGATTGGTAAAGAAGATGAAGACTTCAGTGAAGAAGAGCCTGAAGAAGATGAAGATGATATTGACAACATCCTTGAAGATGAATTTCCAAAAGATGAGGAAGTGATGAGTGAGGAAGATGAAGAACAGGAAATGGATGCACTTGAGCGCCTGAGAGGTGAACTGGGAGAAAAATTTGAAGCAGATATGAGTAATTTACAAGGAATACAGGTTACTACTTTTCCTTCATTTTTCATAATTTAAAATGTAACATTTGAGAACGGAACAAATGCAATTTGGTTTATGTCTTAGTTTCTTTTTAACATTTTAAAAGAAATGCATATTTTAGGGCTGTCTTCCCTTTAGCCAGCACCACTTGCAATTATGAAAACAAATTAATAAATCAAGGGCAACATGGAAGCCACATAGAGTCAAAAGTTTTAGCTGCCAATATGCAGCCACTCGGAAGCTGAAAAATATTTGTTCTCTTGACTGAAGCAGTCACTCACCAGCAATGTCTATGTGCTGTGACCAGACTTTGTCCCATTAAAAATATTTGGTTTTATGATTTTTTTTCATCAGGATGAATTTGAGAAGCTTTTGATCCCAGTGATTCTCATCAATGGAGCTCGAAAAATCCACATTGTACAATATAATATGAATATGAAACTGAAACCACTGGTGGAGAATCGTGAGAGCATTTTTGAAAAATGTTATCCAATAGCATCACACCTTGCCCAGAAAATGCTTAGCTGTACCTATAAGTATGTAAGCGCATTTGGCTACTGGGACCCTGTAAAGGTAATATCAGCAAATGCATCTAAAAGCTGTGTTCTTTCTTTTATTTTTTTTAAGTATGTCTAAGAAGAAGACAGAGGATAATTTCAAAAATTGTAAGCATTATACAGTACTCTTAACTAGCTATAAAAATATGTGATTGTTTTATTTTTCTGAAGAATGAATGGTAATCAAAGGGTTTAATCTCTTTCATCTACTTCTGTAGAGATAACACAATTCCAACTTGGTTTTAACTTTGTAGCTGAAGATAGGTAGTGGAAATATTTTCAAACTACACATCGAAAGGCCTGAGCTCCAGTACTAATTTGCCACCTAATTTTAGGCAAGTCAAATGACTTCTTTGATTCTTTAATGGACCCAGGGTCTCAGACCCTGTACTAAGACCTAGTTCTGTACTAAGACCCTGACTGGTTCCTTACCTTTAAGATGAAAGAATAATGCCCCCAGGCCACTGTGATCAAATACAAGAGTATAAAGTCCTCTGGAAAGTGTGAGACACAATACAAAATGTGACAATGATGTTCATAACAAGAATTTGTAAGGACCATATTTTTATGCAGTGTGGACAAACAGATTTAATCCAGTTAGAATTCACTAACCCCAAATGTGGGATGATTTTCAACAAATCTCAACCAAGAATATGCCAGCTACTGTTCTAGTCCCTGGGAATAGAGTAGTGAACAAAACAGACAAGGTTTCTTTTGTCTTTCAGCTTATATTCTAGTTGGATTGGGGAGGGAGGATAGGCAATAAATAAGTAAACAAACAAATATGTTCTTGAGAGATAATATTAAGTGTTACAAAGACAATTAAAAAATGTCATGTGATAGTGACCTGCTCACTCGGCCCATGTACCTTTTTATTTCCATTGATGATATAGCACAGTGGAGAAGATCATGGCCTCTGTATCCAGACTGCCTGAGTTCAAAACCACTTATTAGATGACCAACCTTGGACAAATTACTTAACCTCTCTGAGTCATTTCCATTTGCATAATGGGAATAAGAATAGTCCCTACCTTATAATATTGTTACAATGATTAAATGAGTTAATTACTGTAAAGTGCTTACAAGAGTGTTTGGCTTTTTGTAGTGCTCAATAAAAGTTATAGTTGTTATTAATATGTATTACTATTATTGGTCACTGATAAAAAGTATTTCAGAAGATGGGATCCAAAATGGAGCCATGTGCATTTACCTGAAATCTCCTTCTTGGTTGATATTGACACAGTCAATTTCAGTTCTACTTAATTGTGCCATCTTCTTTATCTTAGCGGTAGGATGTCAAGAGAAACCTTTTCAAATATCATGCTGGAATATAGAGACATATGACAGTGCCCTCCATAGAGAATTGGGTAGAGTTAAGCATGTATTAGAATCACCTAGAAAGTTGTTGAAAGATAGCCATGCCCTTCTCTCTGAGATGAGAAAGAAAGGGGAAGAAGCAGACAAAGTCAGAACCCTATTTAAGGAGAAAAGGCTCATGTCCAAACATAATTAGGACTATATAATAACGTCTTGTGGAGAAAGGAGTGCATGGTCATAGGAAGGGTTTAAGCATTTAAATAAGCATTTTTCAGGGCTGTTTGGGAAGCTTTCTGGGTGCATGACAGTTTTTTTAAAAAAGATTTTATTTGGGCGCCTGGGTGGCTCAGTTGGTTAAGCAAATGCCTTCGGCTCGGGTCATGATCCCGGAGTCCTGGGATGGAGTCCCACATC